AATGATTGATATGTATATACTATTTTTATCAATTTGTTGTTTTGTTATTATTTTTGAAAATTTTCATATTTTTACTATTTTTGAAAAATTTATTAATTATAAAATTATTAAAAATAATTATAACAGTAAGAATAGTAAAATTCCATAAAGAATAATGTGTATCACTAATTTATTTATCTAATACTATAAAAAATATTATTAAATAAATATTTATTAATATTAATTAAAATAAATTTTTTATTTATCAAGAGTTAGATTTGAAAAATATTTTAATTTTTCATTTATTTTATAATTAACTTTAACAAGTTTTTTTTATTAAATAATTTGATAAATATTCTTTTATTAATAATTTATATACAGAATTTAATTTATTTAAAAAGTTGATAAAAAAAGAATTTTTAATAATATAAAAAGAATTCTAGCACATATAAATACTTTAATAAATATACAATTAATTCTTGAAATATAATCTTTAGGAAATTTTTTAGTAGAATTAAGATAATCAGTAATTAATATATGATCAATAACAGAAGTAGTTTTGCATTTTTTATTAATTAACAAATCTGAATCTTCAGAAGCAAGTTAATAAATATATTCATAAATTATAAAAGAAAAAGCTTTGATATAATAACTTGCTAAATATTCTTCTATAATAATTTATTCAGTATATATTTATTTTGAATTATATTAATTATATATAACAGAAAAATATTTATTAAAAACTTTTGGATCAGCCATAAAATATTTCTATATTTTATTTTTTGAATAACCAGAAGATTTTTTTAAAGATATTATAATAATAGAATTATTATTAATAGCAGAATTCTTATTAATAATAATAAAATCTTGAGAATTATTTATAATAAAAATAATAATAATAGAATATATTTTAATTAATAATAATATTAATTTTAATTGGACAAATATGATTACTATTATAATTTATATTTTGAATCAGAAAATATAAATAAAAAATATAATTTTGATTGAATAAATATAATTATCATTGTTATTTTTAATTTGGATTAAATATATTGAATTTAATTTGAGTTCAAGTTTGAATTTGAATTGATATATAGTATTATATACATATTTTTAACTATAAAAAAGAATTATAACTTTACTTAAGATGATATAAAGTATTTTTTATTAAGAATTTAAATTTTATTTAGATATAACTAAATATTTTTATATAATTCTGTGAATATTAATTTTAAATATTAATTATCTTATAATAATTTGTAGTTTTAATTATAATCTATAACTTTAATTATAATTATAATTATAATTATATTTAATATTTAAATTTTACTTAGATATAACTAAAATAATATTTACCATAAATATTATATAATTAATTGAATATTTATTATTAATATTAAATATTATATACAAATTTGTAGCTTTAATTATACTCTATAATTTTTACTTAAAATTATAATTTATATTTTCTAATAAAAAATAAGAGTTTACTTTAATTTAACAATAATAAATTAAAATTTAAATAATTATAAAGATATATAACTCTGTGAAAATTGTATTTAAATATTAATTAATTAGCTTATATTAATTATTTTATAGTAATTTGTAACTCTAATTATAATATATAACTTTACTTATAAGCACTTAATATATTTAATATTAAAATATTTGAACTCAAATATAGCTTAAATTCAAAATAAAAGTTTAATTCAAGTATAATTTAATTTCAAATTTGACTTGAATTTGATTTGAGCTAGGATTGAATTCAGTATAACATGATACTAGATATATATATTATTTAATCAACAAAAAATAACAAAGAATTAAGAAGTTAAATAATTATTTTCAAAATAAAAATTATTATTTATTTATTTCAAATATTATTTATTAAATATATTATTGAACTTATTGACTTAGATAAAGATAAAATTAAAAATAATAATATATCTCAATATAAAATTGATCACAAATAAATAGTAAAAATAATAGTATTACTAGTATTCTATAATTATAATTCAGCAATAATAATAATAATAAGTAATTATTAGAAAAATAATATAATACTTAATAATTTAGAAACTATTGAATACAAATGAAAAATACAAAACAAAATAATAATAAAAAAAAGATATTGTTAAGAATTAATATATAATCAAATCTCTCTATAGTTATCATCCTTAGAAAAGCAAAATTTGATGATTATAGAAGTGATATAAATATGGAAGAATTTTTTTATTGTATTTATATATAAATAGAAAAGCAAAATAGAATAACTATAGAGAGATATAACTATAAATAAATATGATTATAGAGAGATTTGATTATATTAATAATTAATTATTTTTATTATATTTAATATTTTTAATAATTTAAATTTATTTAAATTAATTATTTATTTCTATTGGATGAATTTAAAATCATATGACTTTTTTTATGTAATTTGAACATATAATAATATTTAGTAGCATATTATAATATTCAGTAATATATTATAATTAAAGATAACATGATAATTATTGCAATATAATAATAAATAAAATATTATCTAATTGTGACTTATAAAATTTTGAAATTGCAACATGTTGCAATAAATAATAAATAAGCATTATATACTTGTTATACTATTTCTAATTGTAATATTCAATAATATATTGTAATATTTAGTAATTTATTATAATGTGTAAACTAAAATTATTATATATAAGAGATGTTTTTTATGTTATAAAAAAGTAAGTTATTGCAATTAGTCCAACTAATAACTTAAATAAAATATCTTTAATAAAATATTTATTACTATATTATATTGAACACTCAATCAAATTGCTAAAGAATATCAGTACTGTATTACTTTAGAACTGTTCTCATACTAAGTAAATAATTAGATTTATTAGTAGTAGTAATATCTTATTTATGGATAGACAAAATTGCATAGCATGTAGATCTCGAAGTTATATACTTACTGAAATTATAAATGTACACACTTTTCTATTTGAACTTTTTCTGCTGGATAGTATACCAGAAAATGATATCCACTGATTTCAGCTCTATAGCATACAAGTTATCAGCAAAAGCATTTCGCGCTGGCTTATTTTCCAACATACAAATGTCCAGTATCATAAAACTGGTACGAACTCAAACCGACCACGTGATATCACAAGGGATCAATATTACACGTGATGTAGAAGGAATCTTCAACTACGAGATGACAATTTTGAAATCAGCATACGCCCTCGGCAGCCGAATTCCTATCGACCTCAAAGTAATCCCACAAATCAAAAAATTTCGACTGCACAATGCCATTGTAGAAATTCTCGAAAAACAAGTATACACACTCGCTTCACGGCAAAAATTCACGGGGACACGAGTGGCTGTCACTTTGAAAAGTGACAGTTTTGCAAGCATGCGATTGACTGAGCATCATCAGGAGAACGAAGCTGATTTGGTGGGAAATGTGTCGTACCATAGGACATTGTCGCTTCATTTGTCAAAATGTTCGGGATCGGTCAGTTTTCGGGAGAGATACCGTTGGAGTCAGTTTAGTCATCAATTACGATTGACTTTTATGATTTCTGCACCAACTCATGCGAATAAACGAATAGCTGTACGAGTTACATCAACGATTACTTTGCTTTCTTGTCGGTGTGTGGATGATCATTTGGCATTACCGAAGTATGAGGAAGAGGGTTATTATTGTCCTTGTGATCCGGAGTATCAACGACAAGCAAAATTAATATTGGGAGCTTCGGCATTTCCCGAACAGCCACCACTCACTGGAGATGATAATAGTCAACCACCTCCAACCTATGAGAATATCATTGCGATGGAAATGATGACTACCAATGACGATGATAATATTACTACTGCTAATAATAATAACATCACTTCCGATACTTCAAATAACAATGCAACAACATCAACAACGTCCAATCATGATGTGTCGATGGTAATAGACACTTTATCAAAAAATTTTATATATAAAAATTTCTGTGCAAAAATGGTAGTTATTTTCTTTAAATTTACAAAGAGCTACTAAGATAAAATGTTATTTGAACTATTTTGAGTACATGAAATCAAGTTTTTTTTATTAGTTTTTAACTTATAGAATGAAGTTCCTGCAAATTCTTGTTTTTTGGATTGAAGGATTACTTGATTAAAGTGGCTTGGATTTGTTCTAACTGAATTTCTCCAAAAAATTTTCAATCTCTCATGCTATAATTCTGCGTTTAGCTTTTCCCAATTGTTCGGACTCAATCAACGCTGAATCGAGAGTAACATCAATGATATCTCTCTTTGTAATCGTAAGCGTTTGATCAATTAAACTAGTAACATTTCCAGGAATAACGGATTTAAAAGGATTAGTGCCAGGCGGTGTGATAACTACACATAGCTGTGCGAAGGTGAGGTCAATGGAGTTACCAATTAGAGCATGATAAAGCTCAGCATTAGTGTCTGTGATGCCTCTCGTGAGTTGTCCTTCAATTTGAACATTAGTTGCATCAACTTGAGTGAATTTAATTTGGCCGCCGAGTATGTCGAATTTGGCAACGCCTACAGGGGAACAGGGTACGGGTGTTGCGTGCGAGAACGTAAGAAAGATTACGAGTAGAGACAAGGTTACCAAAGAAGTAAGAGTTGTACTTTTTAGCATCATTTTTGAAAATTTTTGAAAATTAGAATTTATGTATTTGAAAATTTTCGAGAAAAATTCCTAATATTTGAATAATTGATTTATAGCTTGCTTTGTTTTCTCCAAAGGAAATAAAAAAGCTGCTCTTTTTTTAAACTATTTTTTTGATATGCATGCTTCATCAAACACAACCTTTTCGGTTTCGTACATAAAATAGCTTACTCCACATGAATCTTTCAACTTCCTAATCCGTGTTTTTTCAAAACAACCCTTTCGGTTTCGTACAGGATAAACATTAAAATAGTTTACAATGAATGCAATCAGATTTAAAAATGATTATATGTACATGTGGTATTCGAAAAAAAAATTAAGTGGAAAATTAATCACCAAGATAATTATCGGCTGAAATACATAAGATCCTCACCAAAAATTTTGATCAATGGTGCGCATTTAACAATTTTATGTTCTAAATTCTTAACTAGAAAATTTTCATCCAACAGAAATGGTAGAATAGACCTTTCTTGATTCTATTGGATTAAATTTTCCTAGTTGAGAATTTAGAAGATAAAATTTGTTGGAGTTCAGGTCATACATGAAATACTCTTTTCCTGAACACGACGATTTTTAGTTGCCGGCTCATCTCTAGCAGATGCTCTATCATTTAATTTATTTAAAGCGCTGCATTTTTACCTACCCTCCCCCCCCCCAAGATAGTAACTCCGTTTTGTTGATAAGCAACTTGCGGTCTAATTTTATAGTAATTGTTTCTTTCTTTGTGGGTCTATTATGTTTAATAGCAAGGTAATTAGCAACAATTCTTATATATCCTTCTCATCAAGCTGTATCTTGGGGGGTGTTCTTAACACGCTGTGCGGTAGAAGTTTATACATTTTGCGTTTTTAAAACAATTAGAAAAAAATATATAATGCGTTTTGATAGATAGTTAAACAATAATGATCTTCACGTTAAACAATGTATGTCAAATTTGTACAACTTCGATATCGTGTAACGATAATAAAATAACGATAATGACAATGGCTAATTTTAATTGATTATTAATTAACAAGTAATTGACCTATCATATTTCTGCGTTACAGGTTAATTCTTTGGATTACACAAAGAAAATAAATATGCGATGCAAAAATCGTTGGCGTAAAAATACGTAAAATAGCAAGAAATCCCTCACAATACAGAGACCTCTCTAAATGCACCCTCCTTAAGTGCTCCCTAATGCACGCTCTCCAAGGATTAAGTTTAATTAAAAATTAGCCCAAACGTAAAACCACTTGTATACCTGAGATCTACTAACGAATTTAACAATCAAGCTTCTATTACGTTAATAAAACGATTTGCACAAATTTCGCGTGGTTTTTGTGTGGGGTAGATGAATTCTTTTGTCCACAAATAATGCCACGCGGCTTTTTGGATGTCAGACAAAAAACGCTGATACATGCAAATACTCGTCGGCACAAACGAAAAAATTTTGTGTTATAATAAAAAATCTACTTTGACGAATTTCTCTATAAAATCAGATACGAATAGGTTGCCAAAAAAAAAAATAACGTTTCATTCGCGTTTTTTACGCGCAAACCCACCCATTATTATAAGTTTTTTCTTTTCCTTTACCCCAGGAATTTCTCGCCATCATTTATAAGTTGATTTTTACACAGTCGTCATGATCTATCATCGATTATGCAAATCACCACATCTCGATATATGCTCTACCTCAACACAATTATGATAATTTTCGTTTGGAAACTAACGTTTAACTACTTCGACATCGCATCGTTATTACGCGCTTACATTTCCACATAAAGAAAAATCGGACTTTCTTGTATTCTGATATCACCGTTTACAAAACTTATCGAATTCGTTCATATACATGTATATTATATAGAGTTTCGTTCTATTGATAGAATAACTTTTAGAATTATATTCACCGTCTACTATGTATAATAATAAACAATTTAGATGTTTAATATGTTTAATGTGTTTTCAATCTCGCCTAATCCTTATTTAGATGTTTAATGTGTGTTTTAACAATTCGATCTCCCCTAATTATTAACTTATTTAATATCGACTTTGTTAGTTTAATTTAATCCATTTTATTAAATTTATATATTTAAATATCGATTTTAATTACACAATTATTTACGCGGATAGTTGTTAACGATCATTTTCACCAAAATTTTGTTAATTTTTAATAAACAAAAATGAAAAACAAAGAGGACAAAAATGCAAACGCTTTTTTCATCCATTGCCATCAAAATTCACGGTAGAAACTAAATACAAAGAGACATTCAAACAGAGTAAAAAAGAACTACACGACATTATTACTTTCGAAAATTAAAAACGAAAAACGAAAAATACGAAAAGTGTTCTGCCAAGAAAAATCTGAGCTTATAGTGCGAATGAACTCGAAAAAAAAATAAAAAAGGTGTAATTTGCTCTATATGATCATGATACTTTTTCAGATCACGAAATGTCCGGAATGTTTTTAATGTGATCATGCGGATAGATAACAACTGAGATATAACTAAAGAGAAAAAGGAATTCTATACTTGAATCTCACCTAATATCTTTTCTCTATTAGGAATCCCCGCAACTTCACCTTTCTGCATTCTCTCGATAGTTTTAATGAGATCATAATTGATCTCTTGCGAAATAACGGAATCATGATTATAGTTTGGATGCGAGCGTATAAACTCCCGCATCCAGGTAGCGGCAGTTTGCAGTGTTCCTTTAAAGTGATTAATGAATTTTGTCAATCAATTTGTAAATTATAACATCAATCTGCGAACCAAATAACTCTGATGCAAAGTTATTTAAATATAAGAAATCAAGTAATAATACCATTAGCCCTTTTGCCCACAAAATCCAGGTATTTGTTTAGTCCAGTTCGGGTCGGTTTGTCTAGATCAATTAAATCTAGATAGTTGTTAATGAGTGATATTAAACCAGGAAATTCTGTCCCCTATTATATATAATATGTTAAAGAAGTTTTTCGAATAAAGCATTCTATTAAACAATTCCAATAAAAAAATCAATTTACGTTTCCATTAATGATTTCATTTATTGTCATTTCCGTGTATTCATTAACGACTGTGGAATGAGAAGTGTAACCATTCACTTCAGTAGTTCCGTTCACTCCATTGCTTGATGTAGAAGAATCATCTAGAAAATTGAATCATTAGATCACATCCTTTTATAATTATGATAAATAACATCTAAACTCATCAATAGATTGTATTTTATAAACTTCTTTACTAAGAAGTAAATACAAAATTTAATCCGTGAATATGATAGAATAGGCCTTTCTTGATCATATTCGGATTAAATTTTGTCTTAGTAAAGATGAGTTTAGATGTTATGCGCCGAGATCTGAGTTATACAATAATAGCAGTGGCAATCTTACTATGATCAAAAAGTTGTTTTCTGAACCAGAATTTCTCCTTCAGCACTGCATCACGTTTGTGTGCTCTTCTCATATTTTCATCAACCTGATCAAAAACTCAAGTTTAATATTTATATTCACTAATTAATTATATAATAGAAAAGAGTTAAAAAATTACCTTGGTTATGGGTATATAAAAATTTGATCTCATTATCATGATGACTCTCGTTAATAAAGCGATAAAAACAGCAAATGCCGCATTCTCAAAGTCAGTAAATTGGACTTCCATACTACGAAATTCTACTCTCCATCCAATATCTGAATTTGGCGGTGGTGGTTTAAATCTCATTGTTTGCCAATTTGTAGATTGAAGATTCTGGAATGATGATTTCATTATTACTATTTTCTTATGATTAGAAATTCCAAGATTCATTTTATTATTTTCGATATGGGCGACTCCACAGGTTAGGGGCAATCACGAATCAATATGATTTCGGCATCATATTTTAAAAAAACTGGATTTTAAAAATAGCTTTTACAATCAAAACAAAGGTTTGCAAGCAGATTTCGAAAATCTGCTTGTGATTATAAAACGGTTTTAAAAAATCTGCATTTTTCCAAATGATGACGCAAAAATCATAAACCGAAATTTTCTCAAATCGCTGACTGCCCCTAACCCTCTTTTGCTGTAAAGTCGTCCATGTGCAAAATTACTTTAATCTCACCTCAAAGTGATCAGAAGACACTTCATCATCCTGATTCAAGAGTTCTTCAAATACGACTAGAGGATCACGAATAAATAGATGTGCTATGTGACGTGCTAGCAATTCATCAATTCCTTTATGTAAATGAGATTGAAATTATCCAAACGTTAAATTAAATTGGATATTTGCTTAGTTTAACAAGAGTAAAAAAATAATACCATTATCCATTAGTTTTGTACAAATTTCCTCGTCATAGATTAAAGGGATATCGTTATACTCTGGTTTTAACCGTTCATCTGTGGATATATATGAATCTATTGAATCGTAGCGTGATTTGTTGATGATAAAACGATCATTCTTTAGAGGCTGAAAAATGGTTTAATTAGTTAAATATCTTCTAAAAAAAAAGTCAAAATACATAGAATATTTCATACAATGAAGCCTCGTTCTTCTGGTGTTCGATCATCAACGCTGTTTGCGATTACATTCCATCTACAATCTACATCAGAAAGATATCCTCGATATGCAGGAGCAGCAGCTGTCAGAGCCAACTATACTTGGAAAAAATTGATTAGCCTATAATTGTATTTAATTGATCGTTAACAAATATTTAATAAAAGCGCACCATGATTGGACCCATAGTTGCTAATTGATCATACAAAAGTCTTGCATCCACAATATTACAGGCTTGAAAAGTTATTTGCAGACAGCTGCAACCCATGCCAAAACCCATTGCGTCCATGTAAATGTGATCCGGCAGGGCTGCTCCTTGTTCTGCTTCTTTATCTTCTGGAAAAATATTCCGATTTCGGGGAATCGTAGGATCAATAAAAGGCTTTGGTGTCTCCTTATCACGAAAAATCGGCATGTTTATAGCAACTTTGTATCTTCGACGTTTGCGAATATTTGCTGCTAACGTGCTAGAATAATTCATTAATTAATTGATAAATTAATCAGAATCATTTATTTATTTATTTATTACGTACGGAAATCTAGCGTGTGGATTTATTATTTCATCGGGAAGAAACAAACTTCTTGATGCATCGCCGATTGGTTCATAGTGAGGTTCTGTAAACACACCAGGAGCTCCGAGGCGTGGGAAACTAGTCACTGTAACTGCCACTTCATTAGGTTTCATGTATTTTTTTGCGATTTCTCTTCGCAATTTCATGTTTGGTTCCACCTCAAGAAGGTCTTGCATGGTATTCCCGTAGGGTTTACCTGGTGTACCTTTTCCGCCATATCACGTTAATATATCTAGTACAAATTGGCGAGTGAATCAATATAATAAATATAACATATTTACCTTCAAGCATATATCTTCCGAATTCGGGTCGCCAAGAAACATATCTCCTATAAAGAAAAATAAATTTATTTAGATTAAAAATTAACGAATTCAAAATAACATGGGGCGCTTTTCATTAGAAAGGGGTGATTTTGTGATTTTAAATTACAACGGCGATCTTAGATGATATCTCAATAAACTGTTAAGACAATCTGACATTAGATGTCCACCTTTTCTATTGAATAACGCCCATATTGAAATAATGTATTAGTGTACCCTATACTGTGATTTTCTTCGTCTCGTTGCAGTTCCTTGAGGAGATCGAACACGCTTAAAGATAGTTTGGCATTTTTATTTTCATCGTCATATGCAATGACCATATACTCGACCTGCAATTTTTTTGTTCAATTACACCAAATTTGCTTGAAATTTGTAAAAGCAAATAACCGAAAAAAGTCTTACTTCATCCCCCCATAATAGACATGCCGTCCGCTTGTGTTTTAACTTATGATATAATGTTAGAAATTGATTTATGCCATGTAATCTCACATGATCATTATGCTTTTTGGCTTCTTCCCAGGGTAGAGGTGTTCCGAGCGATAATAGGCCCATTTTTTATAGGTTAATTAGAATTAAATGTCTTAATTGATTGTTGAGGAAGTGTGGAGGAAATTTTGGCATTTTATGCAAGTTTTGTGATGACATGACGTATTACTTCTGCTTATCAATCAAGTGTTTGGAAAAAAATGAAAGATCGGTAGCACAAGTGTGAATCAGTTACCACGTTTCTCGTTTGATCTGCTGCTTAATTTGAAATAAAAATTCGTTACTTTCTTTGTTAATTGCTTATTCATTTGCTTAAAGGTGAGGTGGATTCATTGAAGGAATGACTTGGAATTGAAAAGAGAGGATGAATTAAAAAAAACTGAAAAAAAAAACGAAACGAAAAAAACGAATTGGATAAAAATCAAAAAAAATTTGGACGCGTCAAGTGTTAATATATTTTTAAAAAGCACACGACAATCGACAACTTCATTTGGGAGACCGACAAGTATTTTTGTAATTGAAATGTTTTAGGCAATGATGTTTTTTGGTACACGACTCAATCATTTTTTTCAACTTTCTTGCATAATTTCATTTTGTTCTCCCGCCCCTTTGCTTTCAAATCGATAGCCAATCAAATCTAAGCATCACGTTTAAATTGTTTGAGTTGTGGATGTCATTTTCTGCAGAGATGATGAAATTTAAACATATCTTTCATGTGCATTGTTGATCCGTGCAATTATGACACCATTTCGTTGATTATTTTGCAAATTTCTTCCCTTTTAGTGACTTTTGTAAAAGTTCGTATACGGTGCAGGTCACTTAGTTACCACAAATGGCCAAATCTTTAAGACCTATTAACTCAACAATCTGGACTTTTTCAGTCAAAAAAATACGTAATGTTATAGAGTAGTAAATAAACTATTGATTTACGTATTTTCTAATTTTTCTGAATTATTTTGAGGGCTCTGATATAATTTGAAGTTAATTTTTTTGTGTGGTAACTAAGTAACCCGCACTGTATATCGATATAGTATTCTAAGTGAAATCCACAGTGGCTCAGAATGTGGCTTTCACGAAATATTTGAAGAAACTAGTAAAATTTCGCAATTTAATCAAAAATAACGCAAAAACCAGGTTAAGTAATAATCGTCATTCGATTAGATCATTTATAAGTTTGATGACATTGTCTGGCATGTGACGTGATAATCATTAATAACGCAGCCCGGTAACTTTATTTGCTTATTCTATATATAACAAAGAATATAGGAAATCTTCGCAGAGTATGACACGAGATTGTTGTTCATTTTTTCAGATGCTAATTGAAACTCAGGCGGAAGATGCACACTATGACCGACAGAAATTTAAGTAAAGAGAATGTTGACAAGGAAATGAATTAATTTCGGGAAGCAAACACGATCGTAAATGTTATATATAGCATTCCGCATTCGTAAGTTTCGCCATAATACGTTACTTGATAGAATCTTTCATCAAATAATGGAACTTTCGGTATTATAATGCCAGATTACTTTGGAGCTCTTTATACCGATACATCGAAAACAGATAGAAATATTAAACCCTAATTATAAACTTCGTAATATGATGCTTTTTTTTATCAAAAGCTCCGTTAAAAGCTGAGATCACTATAAAGAACGCTTTAAGTTAAGGTCATGTCTTATTTCAGGTTTCATTTTGATCCGGATTTAAAAAATCCGGTTTGTATTTAAAACCGGACAGAGATATATATATATAATATTAAATCCGGTTTTAATATTAACAAGGAAAAACATGAAACCGTATTTAATATTATAATTAAACCGGCTATAAACCGGTTTACATTAGAGATAACAATTCCGGTTAGTGTAATATACCAACTTGATCGCAGCTACAAAATGAAAAACTGATTACCGTAAAGTCCCGAAAGTAAGCAACCCTCCCCTCTTGAGCTTTCAAAGTCTTAGAAAAGTTGAATAAGCAACCCCTATATAATAGATATGTATATATATAACAATAAAGATATTTATAAATAACTCGACAACCAGTGATCCAAATCGAACGAAACAACTACCGAAATGTTCGTCTCACTGAGACGAATCTAACGAGCTATAGCACGCTCGATTCGGACAACTTGTTGCCGAGAGATTTACATTTTTGCGAAAGACTCGAGAATAAGCAACCCCCCTTAAAAATCGATCTAAAATGATGACGTAGAGGGTTGCTTATTTTCGGGACTTTACGGTAATGGTTAAAGAAAAGTACCAAGGACCGATATGGCTATTCGGTGTATTAGATATCATTGTGATTCTATAAAATGGTGCAATCGGTTAATGATGTGTTGCAATATTAATGTTATCGTTATGCACAACAATGATAATTCACAAATTCAGCAGACATGCACATATACTGAAACTTGTTCAACGTGTATAATCTATCACTATCTAATAAAAATTGAGACATCTTTAAGGTAAGCGATAAAACAGATTAAATCTCAACCACATGATTTTTAAAACCATAGTAAATGTATTGTGATCAATTTCAAGTTAATTTCGTTTGATCCCGCACAATATTTACCTCCCTTTGTTCTAAAAGCACTATATTCGGTGGTGGTCAAGCAACCAAGCGCAAATCGAAGAATTTTTCGAATCCGTGAATCGTTCAGTACTCACTTTTGTCAAAGAAACAATAGATGCATTGACATCTCTCGCTTGGTTGAAGGTTTCTTGCTTGGTTGTGGTGTCATATTGCCAGTTGTTGGTCTGGTATATTCATAGCAGATTTTGCATTTACTCTTGTATTTTTGCAATCTGTAATTAGGATTTTCTGATTCATGAACAAAAGAAGCGAAGATTGAGATAACTGAGGCAGCGAAAGGATCTAAGAGGGCTATCTCTCGTACTCGAAACTTCATATAAGAGTCTTCGTCATAGTGATAATAAGTAGGGGAGATAAATATTATAATATAAATATATATATGTTGTTTCGCATAACACAATCAAAACAATATGATCGGGATAATTAGTAAAAATTCTGCAAATATACCGATACCGAGGAAATTTTATTAGAAGTGTTTTTGGTTTGTCATTGTTATATCAAGACGGAAGTTAAATTCAGTCTATAGCATTATAAAAACAAATCAACTTTTGCATAAAATTTTTGATTAATACCATTAATTTTACAAATACAAGTCACTCTCATCATAGTGAACGCTCAATATAGTGAAATTTTCTCTAATAGCCCAGACACATTCGGTTTAACGGGAAAGTGACCGTGTAAATGTTTTTCAACGTAGACTTATTACCCTTCGTAAAAAAAACCCCCCGCCCCCGTCGTTTTTACTATATTGAATTGTTGGATTTAAAATTTGAGATTTAAAATTCACTGAATTTATAGTTTTCTAAAATTTATTGAATGTGATAATTTTTAATAGGAGTTTGCCTGAGCATAGCACTGAGAATTGAGAAACAATTCTTTTTATTGTTAATCCAATATCATAATCATACAAATTTCGTCTTTGTTGATTAACATAATTCTATATTATATATTATATATTATATAGAACGCTAAACTGCTAATTCTTCCATTTCAATTCCTTGACCCAAATCACTGGATAAGAGCCAAATACCTATCCGTAGTATCATCAAAGCTTGGGTGTACTTTGAGTAGAAATTATTTCAGAATATAAAAGGGTTGTCAGAAATTCGGCATAATCTTTGCCCGTGATTTGCGACGCCAGGTATCGTTTAGCTTGTGGATATTTTGTAGCATTGAATTTTCCGGGTCCCAGTCCTTTCTCGATACTTGCAACTTCTTCGTCAAGAAGTTTGAGAAGATATTCTGGTGTGACGATTTTATTATCGGTGGTACGGGCGTGATGTTTGGCCCATTGCCAGAGTTGCGATCGTGATATTTCTGCGGTGGCTGCATCTTCCATGAGGTTATGAATTGGTACACAACCGAGTCCTCGAAGCCATGATTCAATATAAGTAAGACCAACAGATATATTACCACGAATCCCAGATTCGGTTATACTACCAGGCACATTCGTGTTTAATAAATCCAATGCGGTGACTTTAACATCTTCACGACGTACGAAAATTTGATTTGGTGTTTTAAGGTTTTCATTGAAAATGTCCAAAGCAATTTTTACGAGATCAGGGTGTGCAACCCATGTACCATCGTGACCAGCTTTAACTTCACGTAGCTTGTCCGCTCGCACTTTGTCTAAAGCAGCTTTATTCGCTTGAGCATCATTTTTTATTGGAATTTGAGCTGCCATGCCACCCATTGCGTGAACGCCGCGACGATGACAAGTCTTTATCAAAAGGCGAACATACGCATCCATGAAGGGAACAGTCATGGTGACGTCACTGCGGTTAGGGAGAACGAAATTTTTGTTGTGGCGGAATTTTTTGATCACAGAGAAAATGTAATCCCATCTCCCACAATTGAGTCCAGATGAATGCTCTCGGAGTTCGTAAATAATTTCGTCCATCTCGAAAGCGGCCAATATAGTCTCAATTAAAACAGTTGCACGGATGGTGCCTCGTGGTAGACCTATAAGATCTTGAGCGACGTTGAAGATGTCATTCCAAAGCCTTTATTATTATACGAAAGGAAAAAACACGTGAATTTATAGTATGTTTCCAGCTAAAAAACAAATTGTGAAAGTTAAGAGAGCAAAAGACGATATGAGATTCATTCACACCTAGCTTCTAAATGTGATTCTATTTTTGGGAGATAGAAGTATGGTCCAATTCCTATTTCGACTGTTTTCTTGGCATTATGGAAAAAGTATAAACCAAAATCGAAGATAGAAGCAGAAATAGGTTCGCCATCGACTGAAACATGAGCTTCCTCCAAGTGCCATCCACGTGGCCTTTAAAAGCAATGTCATTTAACAAGGACTATATTCTAGTCAAGTAGATCAGATTATCGCTTACCTAACAAGAAGGGTGGCAATTTTTCCATCTTTACGTAACGTATAATTCTTGCCAGTGGCAGGATTAGTATAAGTAATAGTACGATAATTTGCATCACGTAAATTTACTTGTCCATCAATATTATTCTCCCAGGTTGGCGCATTCGAATCTTTAAAAAAATAAAAATGCAATCAATTAAACATCCAATCTTGCCATAACCCTAAATTGTCACACGAAATATCACCTTCGAAATCTGCCATATAGGTGTAAGCTCCGCAATTTAAAGCATTGATAACCATTTTCCTATCTACAGGACCAGTTATTTCAACGCGTCTATCAATCAAGCCTGGTGCAGGGTGTGCTCCACGCCAGGTATCATTCTCACGTATTTCTGCAGTCTCTGGTAAAAAATCAGGTAATTGACCGTTGTCAATAGCTTGCTGACGCAATACACGAGCCTGCAGCAAAGACTTTCTTGTTGGGTTAAAGGCACGGTGAAGTGTCGCCACAAATTGAACTGCTTCTGGTGAAAGTATCTTTGCTTGGGCGGGAGTAACAGAACCCAAAATAATAACACCTGGAACAATATTATTAGACATTTCGAGAAAATTTTTGGAAAAAAGGGGATAGAGAGATGGATGGATTATCTGTCAACCCATTAGCTATTTAACGTTAAAGATCAAAGTTAAAATAATCTTATCAATGTGTCATTATGCATGAACATCAGATCAAAATACATCATTGTTTAACAACATATCTAATCACGTACAATATCAAAAACATCATCCGACTCCCTAGCGCTAGCCAATAACTATAAGCAAATCTGAATCTGAATCCTTATTAATTACCAGATTTTTTTCGCTGGCCAAATACAAAAGACACACAAAGCAAAATGACGTCGAAATATCTTTAAATATTCGTGTTGAATATAATTGTTTTAGACCATGCATTATATCAGTGAGTTTCTTTTCTCCCTCAATTTTTGGTTGCAGTCCGTTACTGCCATTTGCACCAAGATTGGAAAAACTCTAAGGGACATCAATGTTTTGTAAATTAATGTTTCGTTCTATATACTTGAAAAATCAAAAAAAATATAAAAAACACCTGATCATTTATAACTTTCCAAAGATTTTCTTTCAACTTTCGAACATCAACTTTTTTCGCGTACTTAGCAAACTTGATGGTTTTTGTTTCTAATCTATTGTTGATTTTTGTTTTTGGAGGAGAAAAAGTCAATAAACTCTCGTTGCCTTCTCCTTCATCATAATCATGCCTTTCTCTAATTTCTTCTATATTGTATTCGTCCATTATCCCCATTGCTATTTCATCCTCCTCTTCGCAGAAATCTTTATTGTTTGAGAGAACAGTTAAAGGTTGGCTATTAATTCCGAAACCAATTGAAGTCGGTATACAAACGTTTTGTTACGTTATTATCTTTTAATAATAATAATAAGTCCTGTGGCTCTCTGCTATCATATTGCATTCTTCTCGTCAACTAAAACAAGATAAAACTTCATTGATATTAAATAAAAACAATAATCAAAAAATTAACATAAACCTATTAACCTTATATTTCCGCTTATTGAATAATTGCAACAGACGTTGAGAAGTAATTTGCATATCATCAAGAAGCAAATGGTTATTATTCTCTTTATGTCTAGGAAGATTGATAGCGGTGGAGGAACCAGCATTTTTGGAAAATAAGACTTGCTCTTCAATATCATTTTTGTCTTTGAAGTCAATAAACGATTCTTCTTGTTGTTTTCCTCTCGATTTTATTTTTGATATTTGTTTGTTCTCTATTACAATATAATTAGTATGGGGACACTATATTTATAAAACATAGTAAACCGGTTTTTTGTACTATGGTGGGAGTAGATTGTGGAATGACAATACAAATTACCTTTATTATTTGAACATCTAATTTTCCAATGTTCTGGTCCCATCCAACTACGAGAAACTGACGCGTCAAAATAGGAAAAATAATCATTATTGTCTGCCATTGTAATTAGAATATTTTTCTCGGAAATTGGATTTTTCGAAATAGTCTCGTATTCTGCAATATCGTCTTCGAGAATGTCATAGTATTGAGAATAAGTTGCATTGCTCTCTGCATATTCATAGAAATTACTTGTTTCGCCAATTACTGCTGTATTATAATTATTTTCAAGTTTGACATCATCATCATCTTTTAATGTATCGATGTATTCATTATTATAATCAAGTTCATTATTAATGTCGCTTCGTTGTGTATTTAATTCAGTTTCAGTTTCTTCTTTTATTGAAAATCCGAGGTCTTTTAAGGACGAACAAATATCTTTATCAAATATTTGTAAGAGACTTTCACGGTATTCAGCTGTATTTGAAAGATTAAAGAATGTGAAAATGAGTAATTTTTGGATGTCATTTGGATAAATGTATTTACCAACCACGAAGCTTCGACAAATTCATTTTGTCTTCTCGATTTTTGTCTTTATTAATTTCTTCACTATCATTATCATCAACATTCTTTGATTTATCCAAGCCAGCAACAGAATCTCCAGAATCGAGAATGATTTGTCCATCAGAACCTATAGATAAATGGTTGAGCAATAATCCTCCAGCTCCCCCTTCGTCAAAATCTGCGCAAGTTTTCTTGAATAAAGGATCAACGGAAAATTCCAATTCAAATCTCTTCAACTTTAACGTGGAAAATTCTTGAACTAGAGTAGATTCTAATATCGATAATTTCTATATAGAATTCATATAAATCATTTGGATTAAAGAATGAATGATTTTCATAACTCGAATTTATGAGCAATTACTTTGTGAGAAGAACGCCGAGCTCGATATCGTGGTTTATCACTGAATCCGTCATTCCTAATATCTTCGTCATCTTCATCTTTAGAAACTGTGTTGCTCTGTGTTAAACCACTTAACAACTTCCCAGTTTCTGTAGCGACCGAGTCAACGCGTGATGTGTAAATTTTTACACAGCCATCCAAGGTGCATGAAGCTTTTTGAAAGTTAATCGAATCTCCTTCTTTCAATATACTCATTTCATAAAAGTAATCAATTAACTCAAGTTTCCAACTATTATGTGCATTGATTTTCTACAAGAAAATATTCAAAGATCATTTATCACGCGTAAATTTCGGACGAAAATATAATCATCGAATATATACATTATCCGTAGCCATTTTCAACCATTCCTCGAAATTTACGTGCATTTGTTCCATTGATATTTTTGGCATTGGAGAAATCGGAAGAGACTGAGAGTATAGCATAGAGTTAGAAGAGGAAGGTTGGCTTCCGGCTGATCGTTTTGGAGTTAAAATTTTCCTTCGTTGCAATAAAGATTCGCGTCGACGTCGTTTTTCGGTTTTGTCATCGTTGAAAGTAACGTGTGGCGTAGTGGGTGTGCTTAAAGAGATACTATTAGAAAGTGTGGAAGTAGTAGTTGGTGGTGTTTTACTTGATAGCTTTGGCGTAGACATAATTTTTGTCTTCTCGTTTAGAGAACTGAAACATTTCTATTAGCCGAAACAGCTTATTATGTTATCACAACAATACTATCAATATTGGTAACATCACCAACTATATCAGCGTAATTTTAAGTAACTTTGATGCATTTTCGTTTATAATAAATTTATGCCAGCCAAGACTTTATCAGAAGAAAAACGCGTATTTTTAGTTAATAAAAAACGCGTTGATTAGGTAAAATTGTACACGATTCTATACTTTTCATACAATGTATGCTATAAATAACTAGTAAAAAATCCTGTAGATATCGTTATATCGAGAATTCAGAAGTTTTATTAGAAGCGTTTTTCGTTATATCGAGAATTCAGAAGTTTTATTAGAAGCGTTTTTCGTTATATCGAGAATTCAGAAGTTTTATTAGAAGCGTTTTTCGTTATATCGAGATTTTAATTAGTAATCGTTATAACAAGTATCGGTATATTATCGTTATGTTTATCCTATGGATTTCTATACACCCTTACAATAAATGATCGGAAATCCAAAATATAGTAAAACATGGCAATATTGAAATTATTTCTCTATAATGAAAATGTCTATTTTATTAATAACCATTTTTTTATACTAAAATAAAGATATATTTTTCTTGGCTTTTTTAGATTTAATTTGAAGGATACTCCTGCTTGTCAAAGTGATTGTAAAAATTTTTTAAATGTAAATTTTAATTCAATTTTAATTATAAAAATTTTTACAATCACTTTGACAAGCAGGAATATCCTTCAAATTAAATCTAAAAAAGCCAAGAAAAATATATCTTTATTTGAGTATAAAGAAAAAATAGTTATTAACGTTAATAAAATAGAAATTTTCATTAGAGAAATATCATAGGGGTGTATTATTTATCGTTATATTAGTATTAAAGTAAAAATCGTTAGCGAGTTAGCATTATGTGTCTTCATGACTCATTTTCACAAATAATAAATCAAGAAAAATTTTCGCGTTTTCTCAACCAAGCACAACTTTTTTCTCGCATTTGCAGTATATAAAAAAAAAAATGCCATTTCCGAAAAACTTTAAACTAAATACCGGTGCAACCATTCCTACATGTATGCAAACTCTACGTTATTTAACTCTGAAAGTCGCGTGTAATAGACATGTCTGAAATAAACTTTTAAACGTTGTTTCTTTTTTGTTTTACTGTTGTTTGCAGTGGGCTTGCGTACTCCTTCATCCAGAGCTCCGCCTAAAACTTTAGAGGCTACGAAGGCAGGTCTCACAGGAGGTGTTCGATATATTGTGTCAGAATATGCGGTAATAAATATTCATATTTTGAACGCGCGTTTTAGTTAGAAATGACGAGTAAAACATTAAAATATATATATTTTTTAAAAGAATCTCAATGAAGGTCTCATTGGTCAAGCTATAAAAGAATCCAACATACCAAGAGCAGATTTATTCATAAGTGGAAAGGTATATAGATAGATATAAATGCATACATATTCAATTTTTTCCATCTTTGAAGTAATTAAATTTGGTGCTTTATAAGTTGTGGAATACTCGCCATCGCGATGTTGAGAAAGCATTTAATGAGACTTTATCAAGCCTTGGTGTTGATTATCTTGACTTGTAAGTTCACGATTATACATCTTTTACGTATAGATTTATTTTTCATAGAATGATTAAAAATGATATTTTCTGTAGATATATAATGCACTGGCCAATCGCTTTTAAGAATAACGGGTCAGACATAAAAGTGGGTGAAGACCACAAAGTTGACAAGAGAGCTTATGATGATTTATATCCAAAAAGTTCAAATTCCAAAGAACTAGAAATCGATTCAGAAGTTGATTTCCTCGACACTTGGAAACAAATGGAGGCTCTTTTGCCTTCGAAAAAGGTGAAAGCAATCGGTGTTGCTAATTATACAAAACCAAAATTGGAAAAACTACTTAAAAATTCCAAAGTTATTCCTGCTTTGTTAGAAATAGAAACACATCCATTTATGCTTCAGGTTAGTTTTATTTAGTTTATTAATCATATAGAGAGATGTATATATTGCGTGAGACATTATTATTAATTAATACTTCTATTTCCTATTTAGACTGAACTTATGGAATACTGTAAAAAGAATAAAATCCATGTTAGCGCACATACTTCGACGGGGCTATCGAATAAACGTGGAGTCTTAAAGAAGGTTCTTGTCGATGAACCTGTTATTAAAAACATAGCAGAAAAACATGAGCAATCTCCCTTCAAAGTACTTGCGGCATGGGCAATTCAACGCGGTACTACACCTGTTTTGCCCGCGATTGACGCCGAGAAGGTCAAAGAAGTTTTTGATCTAAAAGAATTGACGAAAGAAGAATTCGAGGAAATTAGAAAACTTGGGGATGAGCATACAGAAAGATATTTCAGTGCCAATGGTTTCAGTTCTGTCTTTGAAGATAAAGAATGATGATAGCAAAATAACAAAAGCATTAATAAGAATAGTAATAGAGATAGTATTAGAGTCTTGAAATTATAAATCCTGGGTGAATGATAATAAATTTATAAAAAAGAAGGGGAAGAGTGAAGGTAATAAATAAATGAGTTGATTAGCATTGGAAGATGTATCTTGTTCTTATTCTATTTTTGAATAATTTGCGATAGAACTTTTATTTACCTTTTTATTAATAAGGTAATTAGCACGTATCAATACTGATAAATAATTCTTTTTCAAAAGTACACTATGTGCATCTGTTCAATTAATTGATATATGCATGTTTTTTGTTGTTTGATATGTTCATTGTTATCGTTATTAAAGTTTTATCTTTTGTTTCTCGAAATGGATCCTTTATCGAAGAGTTCAAGAAATAATTAGAAATGGTAAAATGAATCTAATTACGTTGGGGGGGGTTTTTTTTTACCTTGATAACGATTCCTTCTATCGCGCCTTTCATCTTCATCCCTGTAGCGACGAGGTGAGCGTGATCTGGATCTCGATCTTGGACGCCGTCTTGGGCTGTCTTTAGAATCATCATATCGATATCGATCTATAATTATCCAAAAACATTAAGATTGGAAACCATCACACTCACAAATATAAAAATTGATTTACATTCTCTCCAGCCACGATCACGATCGCGATCACGCTCTCTCTCGCGTTCTCGTTCCACACCATGTTTCGGAGATTCAGAATCAACATTTTTTCGCTCAGGATTTTTTACACCCCGTAATATGAATCGAGCTGCCGCTGTATTATCTATTCTTAAGGTAGGTTTTGGTGGATTCAGTGTATGGGCTATTTTTGCGCCATATTGTATAACGCGGTCCTTTACAGTCGTATGTATTAGAATGATTAATCGTGGGTTTAAGATAACAAAAAATACTATATACTACCTACCATTTGTTCCTTTATTGGATGTGGTGCTGATGGGTCAATTCCAGAAATTCGAAGATAAACTGACAAAGTAAACGGATTTATGTTTATATTTCAGATTTGAAAAAGAAAAATAAAAGCCGAGTTAATAACTATAACTTTGATATTCTTAACACACACGAAAAAAACCCAATCACACTCTCTTTTCACATACTGGCTATCAACGAAGAAACCATTTGTGCATGCATCGCGTGCAATTTTGCCCGTTCAATAAGATCCAATTTCGCACAAGTTTCACTGAGAGGAGTCTCAAGCAACGGCGTTAAAGTCCAAGCAAGTTTGTCTATCGAGGCATCAAGTGTCTCGCCATATTCGCGTAGATCTGGTAAATCTACTTGGTTAGAGCCTGACTTCATACTCGACGTTGCATATTGCGTCGAAGGTAAGTCAAAAGATCGCTTGGGTGGAAAAGACATTGTGAGATAAGGGAAGAGTTATACTGATCATCAATATGCATTGATTAAGTCGATTACTGTCGATGTCGAAGTTACTTCAACATCTAAATTTCGCCCGAGCTACGGTTTAGGTACTTTACATTTTTCTACAATAAGTGGGCTACTTTACATGAGGATTACACATATAATTTAGTATTAATCAAATATATTAGAATAGGAAGTACCTAATAAAAAACTGCTCTCAAAAAGTGAAGAGAGTACTATACATCGTAAAATACGGTACGTATCGATTCTTTGATATTATATCGCAAAGATGATAGTGTGCGATTTTTTTAATGCAATAATTGATTGATTGAAAAAATTTATCTCGATCGATGTTTATATCGAGAGACAAAAAACTTGAAAATGTTTAGTTATACTATTATCCTAAAACCATATTCAACTCTTCAACTGGAGGATCTAATATTGGCTTTCTTTCAATAAACATTGAATCATCTTTAGCAATAAAATTTTTACCGCCATTAAAAAAGTTTTCATCACTGTCGTCATTATCTCGAATAATCGGCAATGATTTGCAAGACGAAGCGTACTCTGATTTGATTCCAAGATTCTTTGATGGATAAGATGTGAATAATAATTGACTGGGTGTAGCGCGGGGTGATTTTGGGGGTGAAGGAGGTAATGTTGGTGAAGGTGAATTTCTTTGGGGTGTGCCTGAAGGTGAACCAGCAAGTGACCCGGATGGAGAACCCAAAGGAGAACCCGAAGGTGAGGAATTTTCGGAAGATACAGCTGAAGTTTTTTTCCTCGGCTGTAAAGTTGCACTTATTGTCACTATTGGAATTGGGGATGATTTAGGTGATGCTTCGATCTTCTCCAATGGATCACTATGTAATATACCGGCAATGCCCATTCGTGAGGATCTTCGACGAATAGAAACAGATCGTGACCATCTTTCAAATTTTGAAGGAGCTGACGATGGAGGATCCGCTAAATAAGGATCATTTGAAGGATCGAGAGCATTAACTGCATCCAAGGAAACTGGAGCACTTTTCACCAATGTTGAGTCATCGTTGAATGACGGAAGCCCTTTAGTTAATATTGATGAGGGTTTAGATGAATGAATGTTCGTGTTTACTGACTCGGGTAACAATGACTTGGATTTTAATCTTTTTTTCGAAACTAATGGAGATGCTGCTTCATCTACAGGTTCGGTTTTCGGATGTGATTGTTTTACAGAATCTGTCTGATTTATATCTCCAGGTGGCTTTAATGAATGATTTTTATCTGCTTTCTCCTTTATTGATTCGTTGTTGATATTTGAATCATGTTGAATATCGGATGTAATTGTTTCTTTAATGTTATTGTTAATACTACTATTGGTACTACTAGTATTACTATTGATATTAACATTGTTATTGGTACTAGTATTACTAGAGGTAGTATTATTACTAGAGGTAGTATTATTACTAGAGGTAGTATTATTACTAGAGGTAGTATTATTATCAAGATTAATGCTATCATCTTCTTTTGTAGATTCTTCTGTGTGCACGTCTCCTTCATAAATTCCACCCATGCCAGAACTCATAAAGAAAGAAGTATCGTCCATATTTGGTAATACTAATGATTCCATAATCATCTCTTGAATTTTAGATTCGATAGCTTTGATGACCATTGAGAATTTCAAGTGTGTTGCGGAAACGACAGGTTCAATTAGCAAGTCCAGCTTTGGCATTTCATGGAAACCCATCCAAATCCTATTTGAAGGGGGTGCTTTGATGCGTAGCAATAATTTTCCTTGAAGCCTTCTTAAAACTACCGCGAGTACTAATGGCACTTTTATTGGTTTGAATCTTGAAAGTGACACGGATATTATTGCTTCCGTTTCGATTTCGACTCGGAAACCTCCAGTGTAATCAAGATTCATGTCGACGCTTAGGTCACCGTTTGGCGCAAGATCCACTAATTTTGGGTTAGTAATGAGCGGGACACCACTTCCGACGTGCACCGATTTGATGTGAATATCGCCTAAGAAACCGGGTTTTTTCACCTTCTTTATCTTTTTTACCAACTTCTTCACAAAATAATCTTGTACTGTTTGGGTTTTATAAACTCCCAAGAAAATTCGACCAAGAATGGCATTGAGCCACTGAGTTTTGTAATGTTCGTCGTCTGAATGAATCGTCTTTAATAGATCGCTCATGGCTGATTGATCGAATTGAGCCTTGTCTCGGACAACTTGTGGCTGCGGTCCTGGTGAATTTGATTTCAGTTTCGAAGATTTTTGCAATGCAAAATACCAGTCTTCCTTATCGACACCGACGTCGCAAAATAGATAATAATCACGATTGTCGGTGTCTTTCTCCATATCGGCACAAATCGATTGTTTTTTCGTCAGACGAATTGAATTCACTTTCAAATAGATTTCATTGTCCGGTAAACGGTCGGGGTATATTGAAACGTCGTGATGTGAAACAATAATTATACCCTTGCATTCCGTTTGATTTTCACTCTCGTACATGAAAAGTGTATTATACTTTAATACGGCAAAATAAGAGTCCTTTGGTCGTTTTGGTAGTCCATTTTTCCCCTCCATAAATGAATATATTCCCTGTCTCATCATATTACCAAAAGACGATCCAGAATTCGGTGCGCCTCTGACGCTTTGATATTCTCTTGTTACGCGTAACCAACCAACTTTATTCAAATTAGCATTGTCGTCGCCTTTATTTCGTGTATGCGCCTGGTCATTAATGACATTACTCTGATTCTGTATTTCTTCTGGCGATGTCACATCGAACTTTATCGTGGTTGATTTATCGGGCAGGAAACGATACTGAATATAGAAGACGAAAAGTATTGATAGAATTAACAATGGCAAGAGAGTAATCCCGCCCATGAGATATATAAAAATTAAAGTCCCTGGTGAAGCTATCATTATGTAAGAATGTCTAGAAATATGTATATTATGTGGGAGGAGGTGGAACTATTTACAGATGTAGAAGAAATTGTTGGGCGTGAGTATATTTGATTTCTAAAGAAATCAAATTTGAGGAGCGCAAATTTGAGCGCGAACTCGCAGCTCTGTTGAAAAATTATTTTGGTTTCCAAGAGGATAAAACAGGGGTATTTTTTAAAAAGCTAAAGAGTATGAGTTGTTGAATAAACAGTGAGGTTATGAACCAGCAAACACTTCCAAGATGTGCAGATTGAGGCTTCAATAGGATATAAAAGATAAAGAAGATAAATTATCTGAAAAGAAGGCTGTGTTGTATGAAATTTGTTGGAAACTCTGAGATCAAATGGCGCGCGAACAAAAAAGTGGTGTACGAAGAAAATGTAATAATAATTATTATATTGGTGTATTGGTTTTCCTAACTTATGCAAATCATCTGATGCTGATGACAATAATTATATAGTAAAGTTCTCATTGTTGATGGGGTATGGTATTTGTTACTTATGACCACAAGGATCACTTTTGCGTAAAAAATGGCAGAAATAAAATTCACCATTAATGACTCTTTGCCCCAAAACTCATTTACTTTCGTGAGAATCTTCAAATATTTGACCAATCGAAATTAGGTTTTAGACCTGCTTTGCACAATAATGATGACTATTGTATCGTTTGCGGTTTTGTGTTCCGTAAAGATTTTCGGATAATTATTTCCTGTTATTTTTTTTTTATTTCGACCTTATTTGTCGGTCGATCTTCATAATAAAAGCATCATGATGAGCATTTATGAGGCAGATCTATTACAAAAATCGCAGTTTGAGCGTGTTATAAAAATAAACACTCCATACAATTTAAAAAAATTTTAATTGATCTCACAAACACACTAATTTAAAAAAAATTATTAATTGATCTCTCACGAAACACACTAATTTAAAAATACACTAATTTAGAGCATCAATCAATCAAGCATTTTCTTCTACTTTGATGATTCTAATTTCACCTTCAGTTTGAGTCATTTGGAGTGTGGGTTCATCCTTCATTTCGATAAACTTGGATCGGACCTTCTTTTTCAACAAAAATGCTAATCCAATCACAACTAATAACAAAGCTCCAATACTAACGAGAATAATGGAAGTCAATCCTTTGGATTTTTTCGAATAAGACGAGTTAACATCTTCATTATGACTGGTCCGCGTTGACGTCTCAGGTTTATCGAACGGGAAGTCTGAGGCGTTACATCTAGAAATAGGAGCAAACAATGGACTCTGTACAGCCGACGTAATACCACAGTTTTCTTCTGTCAAAAATTTTGAGGTATCAGAAGCTGAAAAGTTTTCCAGCCAAGTAGGCAGATATTCTCGCTCATAAGTTGGATACTGAATTGAGATTAAATCACGTAACACGAGATCTGGGCGAGCCCCTGAAGATGCGGACCAATCATCATATCCTAATTTATTCAATAGTTTATCCGTACGATAGACTCGGCGTTTCTCAACGAATGCTGGTAAACTGGATCTGTCGTAGCTGTAATAGCCGATTACTTTTAGCCATTTATCGTACGTATTGATATTTTCATCCGTGATTAGTGAAAGATCGATTATTAGATAAGCATGTGATATTGCAGATTGGAAGCTTGAGAGTTGGGAAAAAGTTCGACTAGCATTCAATATTGGCATTGCACCTTTAGCAACGAAAATTTATGGATTAGTAAACTATTCCATTATTGTTAATGTGCATTTTCCATTAATACAAACCAGCATTTAAAGTCAATACAGTATAATACAGATCATTTATCAGATTCCATTCCTTGGCAACAGAATTATAGGCAACCCACGCGATATTTTTCGCATTGGCCGCCATGATCAAGTTCTGCGTGTTACAATTATAATTTTCCTGAATATTATTGAATGTGTCTGTTGCATTTTTCTCACCATTGAAAAATAAGGAAACGAATTTTATCCATTCGGCTTTCTAAAAGTACAATAGCAAGCAATAATAAATGTGATAACTCGAGAAAAAATATTCAACCCGGATGTGAAAATAAAAAATTTACCTGCAATGGACTCAAATCATTTCCACGAGAGACAGTCACATATTTATCCGAATCTTTCGAATCACTAGAGAAAACGACATCAACCGAATTACTGGTATCACTATTATTGCCACCGCTGTCGACGAATGAAGATTTTTTCGCTTTTTGTAAACATGGAGATGTCACATTTTCTGGATTTGCAATATATTGTATCGCTGAATCGAGACCAAGCATCTAGTATTTTTAAATAAGCTCAAATAAATAAATAATTTATTTTAAATAAATAAATAAATACATACATACATACCTCTAAAAAAGAAACTACGTTCAAATCAAGACTAGCAACATTCTTTACAGGAACTTGTAGATAACTTTTAACATTTGTCAAAGATATATTTGGACGCGTCAAAGTACAATAAAGCAAGTAGGTTTCATTTGCCCGATTATTTGTTACGATTTTGTAGTAGTTATGATACGAGACGTTGAATCCTGAGAAGTAATCTGGATATATTTTTTGTTTGTATAAAAATATTAATTGTTAAAAATGAGAAGTATAGAAAAGTCACCCCGGGAAACATGAAGATATGGCGCATTTGTAACTTTCTAAATGTTATTATTATTATTATTATTATTATTATTATTATTATTATTATTATTATCATTATCTTAATAAATACCAATGGAAACTTTATCCGGAAAATAATCAGTTCCTTCTGTCCATGAAGTGGCACAATCCCCGGCAGGAGCAGAATCAACAAAAACTGTTCCGCCGAGGAAAACAATCAAGAAAAGCGTCGTTGCAGTCGTTAAACTCATATGAGTATTCATAAAGTAATACGTTAGCTTGGGTATAGTCTTCGTCGACTTGAATTCAAAAATTTAGATTCGAAGTGAGACGAAAACTAAGAAACACGACACCATCTTATAATCTTATATGTATGCGCGACGATGAACAAGATTATTGTTATTAAAAAATGTGTGTACGTGTACATTAGTCGGGTGATGATAACACGTTGTAGCAAAAGTTACTATTATAGGAATTCCAAACTTTTTGTAGTTCGTTTCACACAAGCAAAATGATGCTTTTATTAGGAAGCTGTTAAATACACCTTGTACAGATACATGGTGAGAATCATATATTCAATCGATCCATTTTTAACACTATGTTATTTTCTCAATCGTTTTCATCAGTTTTCGGTAGCAACGATTCTGGTCGAAAGGCATTTGGCAACAGATGCTCGAATACGACCTTTTTATGCGTACGATCCGGTTTCACGAGGTAGATTGGGAAGCTGTTATGTACGAATTCAGCTAGGAATTGTCTATATATATACGTATAACATGAATCGACTTTAATCTTTTTCGCGGTGGTATTTATTTTTTTATTTGATACACGCTTTTTTCACTTACCGACACATACCACACGGAGCAATAAACTCGTGTTGATCGCTAAGATGGAAGATTCCTTCGTTTTAATTCGAGAAATTAATTAACTTGGATAGAATAAGAATGCTCACGTCGAAACTCCAATCGCTATAAATTCTCTTTGACCTTCGCTCTAGATTGATCAGAATACATCAACAACAGAATACACATACGAAATTCCAAAACAAAAAAGCAATACAAAACTTACAACAGCCTTTATAATTGCGGTGCGTTCAGCACAAATTGTTGCCCCTGAGAAAAATAAAATTTTCGCAAGTTTACATATTTGTATTTATATATTTGTTAGGAGAAAGTAAATGATTGTACGATAAAGAGAAGATAATACGTATGTGCTGTGCTTGCGTGTAAAATAAACTTGCCATAAGAACTATTCTCAACATTTACACCTGTAGAACGAGAAGCAATTAGTTACACGTGATACAACAGTTAATAAAGCTCTCGCTCATACAACTTTACCTAGATACCATGTCCCGTTTTCGGTAAGTAATGCACATCCAACGCGGAAATTCGAGTATGGGCAATACGAATGTTCTTTCGCTATTATTTTATTACGAAGTAATTTAAATATTTTATCATGAATAAAATACAAATTATTTTACCGTTGATTGAAATGTTTATTAAATCCTTGATTTCTTCGTCCGTAAGTTCTCTTGTTGTTGGTTTAGAAGAGGAAGAACCGGGAAGAGGAGTAGTATAATCATCAATCATATCTGCTACGTCAAATAGTACAAAAAATGTGGATGTATATTAGGCAGGTATCTATCTGGTCTGTATAAAGTTGATTGGTGGGTGGGTAGGTAAGAATGCGCGAGTTGGCAAACGAGATCAGGAATTCTTTTAATCTTTACCTTGTGCTGATGGTTATTGTTATTATTATGATTTTTATGATTTTATTAGTTCTCAATAACGATAAGTCCCGCATACCTAATCACTAATCGATGTTCAATGAACCTATTTATAATTTTTTCTTGTTTGATTTTCATCCAATTCGAGGTGGTGTAACCTTTTGTAGGGATTAATCATAAAGTTCCGGGACAGTGTATTCCTTTTTCGACTAAGAAAATCGGAATCAACTATAAAGTGCAAATATGTGCATAGAAACTAAATTGTGTGGAATGATGGAAAAAAGATGAACAAAAAGTATCTCTTCAAGAGAATTCCATGATGTTTAGCGAATATCCCATTTATGTGCAAGTATGTTGTTTCAATTTCATTACACATTGATATTGAATACATGTCTAAACTTTTTCAGAGATTAATAATAGCTTAATAATTACCCAGATGGGGAAAGTGACGGGAAAGATATTATTTATTTACTTAATTTACATATGTAAAAGCCCTCCCGTCCCGTTCGACGGCTAGTACAAAAAAATGATTATTCAGTTCGCACCTAATCTTGATGCCATCTTTCGACATTATAAAACCTGCCTAATAAACAATCACATGACGTAATAATGAATATAGATAACGATAAGCACAAGGATGGATCATGATTAATGGATGCATCGGCTGCTGATTCGTTGAATAATAGAAAATTATCTGGTTTTTGTTATATAGCGGGGGCAGCAGGGAACATGGTAACATGGTAGTATGGCACGAATTGATGATGATTATGATTATGATGAAAGGTTTCGGTGGTTGTCTTGTGATACTTGTATGTTAGTTTAGCATTGATAGAATAGAAGGTTGTAGTAGTTGGTAGTCATTCGAAAAAAAAAAAAACTCTGTTGTCGTATAGCGTATTTTATGGAGTAGTTTACTGCCACGCCCCCTTCTCTTTTCCTATCTATCGATTACTCATTTTCTATATCTATATTTTATTTATTTATATCTCTGTTTCTTTGTTTCTCTGTCTGTTTTCTCTCTCTCTCTCTCTTGCTTTTTCAGCCAACAATTTCGTAATTTTTATTAATCAGCAAACAAAAAGAAGAGAAAACGAGACGATATTAACTAATAACTATACACTGAGTGGGGTGTGTGAACGTGTAGGAATAAATCATAAATAAATAAAAAGTTTCCAAGTCGCATTTTTCTATTATTCGTTACAGCAGAAAACGAGAAGAATAAGATAATAATAGTTAATTATACCATAAAATAACACCCGTTGCTGCTGGTCTTCTCTGCTGTCAACACCACCAACACGCACCTCACAATAATTATTTCTCGCGCACAAAAAAAAATCCATACAAATCATCCCATCTTCTTTATCCTTAACGCCGCGATATCATTTATAAATACACACAATTTATATCACAGTCAAAGTAACTCAGTAAGTTATTATACATACTATATACAATATTATACATTATACATACTCTTATTATAAATACATCAAAAAACGCTTAGTACAAAACTTTTTTTATTTATTGTTACTTGTCTTTCTTTGCTTATCGTGTCCCTTTTTTTGCTTCTTTCTGCTGCCGGTTTGTCCTGTCTCCTTCTTGTTACAGCCTTTTTCTTTTCCAATTCACCAGGTTTACTGCTTGTCTTCTAATCTTTCTTCTTTTGTTAATTGACAACATAAAGGGCAACTCAAGAAAAAAAAGAACTACTTGCAAGAAAAGTACAAGAATAAGAGGAGCAATTCTTAATTTGAAACGCGGAAACTAATTGTTTCTTGGAGCAAAATACACGTAAACGAACTAAGCCCAAAGGAGTTGCATTTGCTATATATCGATATTGTGGTCACAAAGTTTGTGGCGTTCTTTTCTCACACACATACTTTGACTAGATATTCTATAGAAACTGGTCCCCTCCGGTTGTTCAAAGAAAAGAAAAAAACAAATTATTAAAAAAGGAAGTCTTTATTTACTAACATACCACACCAACCAGTCATACAAGTTTTGATAATATATCAGACAGTTTGAAGGATGTCGCTCGCTGAACCTGGAGAGCCTTTTGAACCTTTTGTTACTGCAAGTTCCCGCCCTGCACTTGGGTATTATGTCTCCGCCTCTGGATCAGAAGAAGAGGAAGGAACAGAATATGTCTCGACTCCAAGATATCCACCATATGAGTCGGATTTGGATGAACAAAATATAGGAAATCATCATATGGAAGGATTGACTTCTAGCGATGATGACGATGACGACGAAGACGATGATGAACATGAGCATCAGCAACAATATATAAGTCGTCCGAATGTTGTTAATCCCTTTACAACTGAAGATGACGATGAAGAAATGGATGATTGTTTCTCACATTCGGATTCTGTTACGACAGAAGATGAAGAGGAAGAAGACGACGATGATGATGAAAGAGTAGAACAAAGTCGTCAGGATAATCTAACTCGTCAATATATGGAAGAAAGACAAAACTTCCCCCGTCAATTACCACCAATTCAATTATCTCCTCGCAGTCCATCCACTTCATCTATTTCAGCTGCTACTATTTCTTCTTCACCTTCTCCTACTCAACAAATAACTGGTGTTCCTTTTCGACTTTACTCATCCCCAAATTCTCCAAGAGATTTTATCTCTTTGCAATCCAGTAGAGAATCAGCCATATCATTACCTTCAATATCCGATTCGCCCTTTATACCAGATAGTTATACCACAAATCAATCTGTCTCTTCAATGCTGCGATATCCTCCGATGAATCATAGTTCAAATCATCTCAGTTATCCTCCAACTCAAAATAATCCATCTTCCGTATCTAACTTCTCATCATCATCAACCACAGCAGCAGGATCATCTTCAACGACATCTAACAATAGTAATAATACTAACGAACAACCAAAACAAAGTCCGTTAAGATTTGGCTATCCCGATTCACAAGAGGATGACGACGAAGAAGAATTATTATTATCATCATCTACGACCCCATATGATATGTCATCGAGGAAACGAGTGAGAACAAGGTCAAACGACTGGGCTAATAATGGCACGAGTAATAGGAATTCATCGCAGATTTATCATCAATTACATCATCCGTTACAATTTGGTAGTTTTGCTCCTGTCTCTCGTGATCTCCATCATAGTAATAATGGCAATAGGAGTTCATCATCCATTGTTTCTTCTCAATCATCAACTCAGATACCTCCACCTGTTCCCCCTCAAGTTGGGTTGCATCCTTCTAGCCTACAAAGACCACCAGTGCGGCAGTATATAGATCTCACATCACCAGAATCTTCACCGACTGTGCCTTCATTCAATTCTAGTTATTCATCAACATCACGTAATACAAGTTTTGTACCATCTTTTCCATTGGGAACAACTCCATCACAATTAAGTACAGGATCAAATCCAACATCAACTACGACAAATACATCAAATAATATGTCCACATCCTCAGGATCCGCATCTTCATTTCCACTTCCTCCTTTGCAACGCATGCCTCCTCGTTCTTCGGCTCCTTTCACTGCCTTTAGAACACGTCAGCCATATAATAATCTTGCACATCTAGAACCATTAAGAAGACCAAATATTATTCATAGCACTAATGATACCAATAACAATGATAATAATAATAATAGTAGCAGTAGTAGTAATGGTAGTAATAGCAACAGTAGCAGCAGCAATAATAATAATAATAGTAATAGTAATAATAATAATATTGAACAGTTAGGATATACAAGTAGTTTTACTCAAACCAGTGCAGAATCAGGGCGTGAATTTTCTTATGGAGGATCTGAAACACAACAACAGCAAGAACGTAATCAAACTACTGGTCATGTTCCTCGATTGCGATCTACTCCAAGATGGACGCCAAGGAGCAATGAACTGTCAAGAGCTGATCGAGAAACTCTGATGCGAGCAATGAATGCCACTGTTCAAAGACGTTTGAATCGTACTTCAAGTAATGGCAATAATAATCACCAATCTTCGTATGGTATCAATTCACTGCAAGATAGTGCTCTTCGAGGCTTTTTAAGTGATGAAGAACACGATGTTCCAATTGAAGTGCCTGATAGCCCTGAGCGCGAAATCAATAATAATCTCTCAGATTCACAATGGGGACGACCTATGAGGCGAATAACGCAAGAATTTACGCGTGAACGACATTCTTCAAATTTCATTAGATCCCAAGCAATAGCTGCTGCAGCTGCAGCTGTCAATGAAACAACGGCAGAGGGTACAACTACAACCTCTTCAAGATCTCATCATTCTGGTGACCGTGGTTCATTTACAGATGCTGAATTAGCACGAAGGATGCAAGCTCAAGAGTATAGTGTAATGCAGAGTCAAAGTATTGTTAGTAGTCAATTTTACTATTATTTATATCGAATAAAAAATTTGACTTTATGTTTCTAATAATATGATTTGTTTTGTCTAGCTTGATAACATGAATTCATTGGCGAGAATAATTGGGGAGAATGGACCTGGTCCTAGGCCTTCAGGTTATTATCTGAAAAAATATGTTACGATATAATCAACGAAAGTATTTTTTTGACATTATTTATTTTCAATAAAGTATCTTCTCGGCATTCATCAAGACGAGAATCAAGCTCGACTACATCTTCACCTGCACGCAGCAATTCTGCTACGCGAGAACGAAGTTTTCGTTTCCAATCCAGGCTTGCTGAATTATTTACTCATGATCACCGTCATCACGAAGAACGATCAAATGAAAGAAGTCGCGTGGGGATACGTAGCAATCAATCCAGAGGCACTCGACCTGGTTCACATCATCATCATTTTATTCATCATCATCACCCCATTTTGGGCGGTTTAATGGATGATATCGAATTAGAGGATCTATTGGATATGCTTCCGGATGTTATTGGGTACGTTTGATATATTAATTTTCTCGGGAATCTTCACTTTTAGATTAAATACGATTTATTGACTAGGAATTACTCTCGCGTTTCTAGAAATGGGATTATGTCAAATCCTGACAATTATTTGGTATGTTCATTTTTCGATTTTATTTTTTATCTTGCAATTTTGGTACGAACTCTTTCAATTAAATTGTGTGTTGTATATTTGAATAAAGGATGACGATGATTTCGATCCGAGCTACGAAAATCTGATTCGACTATGTGAACGAAATGGGGATGTAAAACCTAAATGTGCACCAGAAGATGCTATAAATAATCTGCCCACAAAACTATACGCGGGTGGCAAAGGCAAAACTTATGAAGAAAGGTAACTAATATATTTACATGGATTGGCTTTCTTTAGTGTTCCATCAATTAATTTTGCATTTCCTCTGTTCACAAATAGATGTTCTATATGTTTGACCGAATACGAGGAAAATGAAAAGCTAATGAGCTTGCCTTGCTCGCACGACTTCCATCATGAATGTGTGGTCAATTGGCTAAAAAAGCACTCGTCAAACTGTCCAATTTGCCGACAACAAATCACAAAAGCAGAAGATTAATGGTGGAGAATATGTCTATGAACAGCGGAAAATGGAAAAGAATAAATCAAAAATTTTATGCTGGAACTACTATCATCACTATGTACCGGGTTGTATTTATGGATGGACGGATGGAATAACTTTTTTATTTGCAATTTACTTCTACAACAGCAACAACACCACCACCACAATAGAATCGTATTTTTTTTTACTTGTATTATGAAAATTTATTATTTTGGATTCGTACACAGAAACGAATCAATAAAAACATATACACAGTCTACAGTAAATTATACATTAAACTACTATATAGTTATAGCTTCTATGAAAAATCTAGTGAAATAAAATTTATCTGCAGTTTACGGAAACTGCCGGCTGAAACTGTTATTCTGTATCGGGGACCCGGAAAAATGCCAAATTTTTCAACAGTATAAAATCACATGATTGCAAACATTTCGTTTCTTGATACCCCATTTTTTATGTTTAGTAAAAGAGATTGTTGCAAATAAGGGTAGTAATGCGAATTATGGCTTAATTTCTCTGTTCCATGTAAAGTATCCAATTACTATACACCCCCTTTCCATACAATGTTTTTCAGTCTTTTATATGGCCATTTACGGTATATGTATGTCTTCGAAACAAGAGTTTTCCAAATTCGTAGTTAAAATGAGAGTTTCTAAATGCTATCGCTATTGATAATATTCTTAGAAAAATGAACTTATGTTGCTTTAGCGGATTGCCAACACATTTTAATGTAACTCAATGTACTCCTTGCCAAGCCACTTATTATCAACTCACTATTCCCTCGGTCCCCGGCAATCTCACTTCCACGTTAACCTGGTCGATTTGTTGAAAAAGCGACTGAAGGAGATTCACAGCGATTAAAATGCTTTTGATTAATAGTTATGCTAATAATATTAAGAATAAATTCTCTTTTTCATTAATTTTAGGATATTATGCATGGAAATACATTTATAACCTCGAAACGGATCATATAAGTAATAAATGTGACAACTAGTATTGCGAGAGGCTGGAATCTTTTCCCATTTACACAGAAAATTTATTACAAATGTGAAAATTCTACCATTAAGATACTATAACTGAAACTTATTACTCTACACCTACTGCAAAATCGGATACTTTAAAAAATTTCCAACATAATATTTATTTTATTTTTACTTTTACATGTCTTCATATAAATTTATTTTGAATTTTAGTGATATAGCAGAGTTAGTGTTTCAAAAAGAATAAACTATTTTTACTCTTTCAATATCGTATAACAAATTCAAGAAAACATACGGTTTATGTGCATTATTTTTTTTGCAGGCGGTTTTTTTAGCATAGTATTCTCTCTTAATTATAGTAGTGAGTACCCAGGTAATATTGTTGCAGCAATGTTTCTTTACATCGTTCTATGGATCTTCTTGATGAAAAAGTATTTGTTTTAAAAAGTCACAGTGAGGAATGCTTAAAGTTATTGTTTATGGTGTCATTGTATAACAACGACTGCACCAAATAGTGAGCCAACATGAACATTAGGGTCATGTTCCTGAAATTAGGGACATGTCTATCTGCAATTTTATTCAACATTTCAAATTTCTGCATAAAATAAAACAGATATTGACCAAAAGATCCTAATGATTGAAATGTGATTTGGTGCGTTGGACGATTGCGAATTTTTTGCTTTTGTGTCGATTATAAGATTGAAGAGTGTTTAGAAGTTTCGCCCTATAACGATAACGATAAGTCCGAACTATTCGAAACCCTAATTTGGAAGCACTTTGTGGATCAATTTGACTTCTCTATGAGCCTAATTACGTAAGTATTATACAGTGAGCGCTCGTTACAGTAACATCCTTTAAGATAACATCTCGTTATAATAACACAAAATCTCTTCCCCCGATCTCATTAGGGGAGTAACATATATTACGTAATTATCAGAGGGGAGGGGGTCTCAAAAATCTCACCTTCCACGTGATCAAAAATAATTAGCCAATTAAAATATAATAAAAATCTCACTTGGGAGGGGGTTACCTCTATAGTAACTCGATATTATGTAATATATGTCACTCCCCTTACTGTAATAATAAGCTTTTATAATAATTATTTTTTCGATAATCATCTTGATATAATAACACCAAATCTCTTTTCCCGATCACGTTATTGTATCGAGCGCCTACTGTACAAGATTATTGGCATTAGATGAAAGACCAGCGATATATTTCCTGCTTATATGCTAGCGATAAGCTTGATAATTTCAATTAGTCTACTATTTCACAGAAAATAGTTTTTAGTACAAAATGATTTGAGCTCAAAACAATTGAGAACTATTGTTTCGATCATGCTAATTTTGATTTATTTAATAAGTTGTCTGTATTTAAATATCTCATTTATTGAAGATATCCCGATTGAATTTATAAAGCAAATTCTTAAGAGAACCAACAAAATTAAATATCTATTTAATTAACTTTGGAAACAGTAGCTTCTTTAAATTACGAACACATCCAACCTTACCACCTCACTGCGTGGTCAATCTAATTCTTAATCAAAAAGAGATAAAGATCTCTCATAGTCAACAATCGCAAATTAAATAGTGAACATGAAATTAATTTTAGCATTTTGCATTTTAACATTTATGCGGACTGCCATAAGGTAAAAATTAACAAAATCAAATTGAAGGAGATGTTTGTTAAAAATCTAATTCTTGATTAAATTCTACAAAACTCAAAAATACTCGCAGTTTATCATGAGTTTAATAAAATCTTTTGATTAATTACCACTTATAAAGCTTTTCATGTCGTATGGTGCATAAAATCTAAAGTCATCAAACGTTTGTATTTTATAAAATGTATAAACTTCTTTACTAAAAAGTAAATACAAAATTTAATCCGTGAATATAATAGAATAGGCTTTTTCTGAGCGTATTCACGGATTAAATTTTGTATTTACCTCTTAGTAAAGAAGTTTATACATTTTATAAAACACAAATGTTTGATGACTTTAGATTTTATGCACCATAATTATTTCATCAATAATAAGAAAATTATTACTTATAACAAGATATAAATATATGTGTATACAAAATGTATGCTATAACATATGAAACACACTGTATTAAATATTATAACTGCGATAGATGACTTCTGTTTAAAGACAAGTGGAAAAAAGATTTGATTGATTCTTTCTATTCAAGATATCTTGTCATCAAACATACTCCAACAAGTATCAAGCAGTCAAGAACATGTGAAAAGTAATGTCAATAATCTTTTACTAATTTCTTTCTCACAATTGAAAGATTTAATACCTTGAATATAGATAGCTTGACTATAGGAGATACTTTGTAGTTTTGGTGCTTTTCTTTCTTAGCTCTATTTTTTTTTTATTTATGTTAAGCTCAATATAAATATTCAGAATTTTATTATTTATATTATTGTTTCAGATAATGAAAAAGCAGGATATTTGGAGGGAATAACATGATCAACAAGAATCTGAAAGATATTTTGAAAGCAATATGATAATTATAAGCTTCTTATATAAGTTCTTTTGATAAAATTTTTTGTCCTCTTCTTTATACATGATCTTGATTAGTCTAACAAAGTTATTCAATAATTAAAGTTGATTTCTATTTTGTCAATTTCCATTTCTGCAAGAGTTGTGTCAAGATTCTGAATTTCTTTACAAAAAGCTTTATTGTATCTTTCTTTCATGACATGAATATATGCTTTTAAGAATAGAATATAATTAATAAGTTTTTTCACTTCACAACTAAATAAATTCAACAGAATATCTAAACAATCTTTCTAGTAAATGTTCATGATATCTTTCAATATTTCTGTTACAAGAATGATATTAGAAGGATATATGCAAAGAAGATCTGTGCAATTAAATGAAATTTATAATAATTATTATATGAAATGTTATCAAATTGCAATTTAAAGAGAGATTTTAAAAGCAAAGATACATACAAAAGTAACAAGATAATTTTTGTTCTTTTTTCTGTTAAAGTTATGAATTTTTTGTGAAGCCAAGTACAGAATATCTGAAAATTTTATCACAATTTTAGCAAAAAACTCTCAAAAAAGAATATCTAGATATAAAATCTTATTTAAATCATAGTCAAAATTAATATTTAATTTTAATATTTGTGTCTCATATTATATATAATTACACTCTTTAAATTAATTATAATAAATTTAATATATTGATATTATAAAATGAATCACTCTGCTAAACAAAAATTTAAATCAATTATAATAAATTTAATATATTAATATTATAAAGCGAATCACTTTGCTAGACAAAAATTATATTTCAAATTTTTTATTGATATTTTATAATTTATTCTCTCTAGTAATTGAATTAACTTTATCTATTTTTTTTATATTTTTTTTGTAATTTATATTTTTTTATGCTTTATATTAAATTTTTTATATTATTTAAAATTAATAAATATATAAAAAACTTTTTTATATATATTTTTTAACAAAATAAGAATAAGCTCAAAATCAAATTCAAATTCATTAATATTTTTTCAAAATTACTAAATTATTTATAAATTTTTTCATTAAATTCTTGTGTTAAATTCTAGTATATTATTAACTTTTGTTTTATAATATTATACTTAGTTTAAATTGGGATAATTTGAGAGATTTTTAATTTAATAAAACTTTAAAAGAGATTATTAAATTGATTAATATTTATTTAATATCTAAAGTTTGTACTAATATCTACAAATATCATTGACTTAAGTTGATTTTTGAGAAAAAAAGAAAACTATGTGTTTCAGATAAGTGTTCAGAAATTTTCTTAATTATTGCTTTTTATAAATAATAATCATCATTTTTTTTAGATAAAAGTCTTAAACTTTTAAAAATAATAATAATAATAATAATTATATAAAAATAGTTTTTCATTAACAATATGATTCTATACAAAATAATATTTTTTCTAGTATAAAGAATCTAACTAACAAGTAATATAATATGAAAAAAAAGAAAGAGTTTTATAAGTAATATTTTACT